CCTATATGCAGGTTTTGGTTTTAAGGATGTACATCCTTCTGTAAAACTGATAAGATACCTTAAAATATAAAAACCTGCAGAGTTCTTGCAAAGCAGCAAAAGTATTTCAAGCACTTCTAAAAGATGGATTTGCAATTTTCCTGTGGTGACTGAATTAACAAATGGAGCAAAACTGAGCAAAATGCATAGGTCAGGGATGTCAGAGAGTGGAGGTCCATGGGTCTGCAGTGTCAAATGAGAGTGGAGCTCCATGGGTCTGCAATGTCAGATGAGAGTGGAGCTCCACGGGTCAAGAGTGATTAGAGGAGGGTGGAGCTCCATGGGTCGGGAGTGTCAGATGAGAGTTAGGCTCCATAGCATGAGGGTGTCAAATGAGAGTGGTGCTCCATGGGTAGGGGGTGTCAGATGAGAGTGGAGCTCCATGGGTCGAAGGTGTCAGAGGAGGGAACAGTTCCATGGGCCAAGAGTGTCAGATGAGAGTGGAGCTATATGGAACAGGGGTGTCAGATGAGAGCAGGGGCGGACTTACCATTTGGAAACTCAGGCATTGCCTGAGGGCCTGGGTTCAGTAGGGGGCCCATGAGATGCCTCTGGTACCTTTTTCATAGGCTTTTTTGAGTTTGGGCAAGGACTCAGGGGCCCCATGATCCCCTATTGCCCGGGGGCCCCATGAGTTGTAAGTCCGCCCCTGGATGAGAGTGGAACTCCATGGGTCAGGGATGCCAGATAAGAAGGGAGCTCCATGGGTCAGGGGTATCAAATGAAAGTGGAACTCCATGGGTCTGGAGTGTCAGATGAAAGTGGAGCTCCATGGATTGGGGTGTCAGATGAAATTGGAATTCCATGGGTTGGGTGTGTCAGATGAAACTGGAGCTCCATAGGTCAGGGATGTCAGATGAGAGTGAACCTCCATGAGTCGGGGGTGTCAGATGAGAGTGAACCTCCATGGGTTGGGGGTGTCAGATAAAATTGGAATTCCATGGATTGGCTGTGTCAGATGAGAGTGGAGCTCCATGGGTCAGGGATGTCAGATGAGAGTGGAGCTCCGTGGGTCTGGAGTGTCAGATGACAGTGGCGCTCCATGGATTGGGGGTGTCAGATGAAATTGGAATTCCATGGATTGGGTGTGTCAGATGAGAGTGGAGCTCTATTGGTCAGGGATCTCAGATGAAAGTGGTGCTCCATGGGTCAGGGATTTCAGATGAGAGTGGTGCTCCATGGGCCAGGGGTGTCAGATGAGAGTGGTGCTCCATGGGCCAGGGGTGTCAGATGAGAGTGGTGCTCCATGGGCCAGGGGTGTCAGATGAGAGTGGTGCTCCATGGGTCAGGGATGTCAGATGAGAGCGAAACTCCATGGGCCAGGGGTGTCAGATGAGAGTGGTGCTCCATGGGTCAAGGGTGTCAGATGAGAGTGGTGCTCCATGGGTCAGGGATGTCAGATGAGAGCAAAACTCCATGGGTCAGGGGTGTCAGATGAGAGTGGAGCTCCATGGTCCAGGGGAGGGGGAGCCTCTACAAAATAAAGAACTAATTTCTGTAGTTTCTAGGAGTCATGTGACCCCAAAAACACTGACCCTTCATAACCTCCTTTATGTAGCCTCAGCGATGTACAATTCCTGGAACTGAGTGCCACTGTGTGAGATGTCATTGCAGGTGGCACGATCTGAGTTCACTGCTGTGATTATTGGACATTACTTTGTGTACATTGCTATTTTTATGATACTTTTCTTGGCAACAAAGCATCGATTATTCATTGGCCATTTATCAGAGGTTTACTGTATTATGGATGGAGATGCTCATTTGTGCTGCGCTCACACTGCATTGGACACAGTACGCTGTTTTTTTTGGCTGTGATCTGGAGAAACCAGGAGAGAATAACTACTGTAGGCTGTGATGCCAAAACTGAAACATTATTCCAAAAAAAAATTAAAAACTTCAGACCAGCTTTGTATTATGACCTACTGTTTGATATGATCCATGACATTTGGTGTATTGTATCTGTTACTATTTTGGTATGTTTTGTGAATCATTGGGAAACTGCTTTTTTTTTTGCTGTATTAGCTATATACATTATTTCTTTTTTTTTTTTTCTAACTCTGTATTGTGTTTTTTTTATAAAAACTCAATAAATATATCTTTAATAAAAAAAGATTCAGACCAGAAAGTCATTATTTATTGTTACCTGCAGCCTTGGAACTTTCTGTCTGCATATTCGTATTTGCGCACAGTCACCCCCTCTTTATATAAAGCTGTTTGGTCTTTCCCTATAAAATCATTGGCTCTGAGGAAGAGGTACAACCTCGAAACGCATCAGCCATCAGCTATCCAGAGGTCTACAGTCCCCCACCAGACTACCTTCAGGGGTTTTGGACCACACTGCATCTCTTATGACATGCTTTCCATTTGATTTTATTTCTCTTGTGAGTATTTTACTTTTTAGCAATAAATCTCATTTTTAAAGGTAATGCACTTGTCTCTTCATATACATTTCCCTATAATACATTCCACCATTCCTTGCATCTTTCTGACCATTTAAATTTTCCGGTCAGTGTGTCTATTTGATCACTTTTCTGGATTCATGGAATCAGATTTCAGATGATTGTAAATGGAAAGGTTAGAAGACAATTGTGTGTGTGTTGTATGAGGGTCAGCAGGTTAGGTGTCACTGGAAGGAATTTTTGCCCTGGAATCCCATTGTCATCTATTGTGTGCAGAGTAGAATGCCCTGGATACCTCGATCTGCACCAGCCTCACATCAATACACATAGCCGCCCGGCTTGTCTGCTCCTCCCTCTTGTCATAACGCGCACCAGTAACTAGCTAAAGAGGAAATTGACTAACGACCAGTTTAATGGCGCAGCTCGTCAGGAGGGATCAGCGCTAATTTGTAGCGTTAAAAGACTGTCTGTGCAATGGCGGCTTCTCCAGACCATCAGAGTTCCTGCTCATCACTGATTTTTATTTTTATTAACCTCCCTAGCGGTCTGATTATGTCCATATTTCTGTGCTCAAAGCGGTACATTTTTTTGCATGGAAATATGTATTTTTTTTATTGCAGGCCTGTAATTTTTAGGAATAATTCACTGAAATCTGTACGAACAAGAGTCTAGTAAACATCCCGGGTATGTTAAAATTTGAAACACGAAATCATAAATTATAATTTAATAAATAATCATAAAAAATAATAATATAATAATAATAAATTTAATTCAATAATATAATCAAACCAAAAACGCTGAAATTTGAAATATGGCGCCAAATTCGCACATCACTGAGCAAAGTTGCAAAATCGTTTTCAGTGTCTGATGACGAATTTCCCCTATGAATCATTATCACTCAATTCTGTGAGTGGTTCTGATTTACTATCGCTGTTCTCTAGCCGGTCTAAAACCGCTTTTGACCTAAAGGGACGCTTTTTGGACGCCATGGACTTTTCTCAGTTTCCAGGCAGAAAGAACAGTAAAAATGCAGGCAGGGCGCCGGACAAAGCACTCGGGACAAAATGTATGTGAAATGGTTTGATACAGGAATGTTTTACTATGTGATTTTAGTGAATTTAGGGAATGTCACTTTTTGTCATTTTCAGATTTCCCGCCAATTCCGTCCCCCATACGTCCCGACGTCGCAGGGGATGGAACCCGGAAGACAGATGCCGGCATCGGCCGGAGGACATTACAGGGGACACTGCAGGAGGGACATCGCGGGAGCGCAGGACAAGGTAAGTGAAGAACAGATCCCAGAGCAATGCCGCATGGTAAGCCCGAGTGTAGCTCGGGGTTACCGCTTGTGGTACTGAAACTTTACCCCGAGCTACACTCGGGAACACCTCCAGGGAGGCTACCACTTCTGCCTAGTGGTAACACACATAACCCGCTTTTAAGCACACCGTAATGCACTATCGTACAGTGTGTTAGAAAGAAAATGTCATACTTTAAGGGCTCATATACACGGGGCGTTTGGAAAACTCTTCTAAACAATGGAAACTGATGCTGGAAAACATAGGTTAAAAAATGTCAGCTTAACCACGTTTGCATACCGCGTTTTTGAGCGTTTATGTGCGTTTGCGTTTAGAAGCATTTTTTTTAAAGATAACCTCAGGAGACCTTCCCAAATGCCCAGAATGCACTGAAAAACAGTAAAAAATTAACTATTTCAGACATTTTGAGAGAAAAAGAGAGAGCAGAAGCAGAGAGAGCAGTATGTGTTGAGATGATCTGTCTTTTCTGGTTGTATTCACTATGGATCCCATCATGAGCATAATGCGGAGCATTCTACCATTGTTTCCTTCACGCCAAACCTGGAACTGACTGCGCTGGTGTACCGGGTCCATTTGAATACATGAAAAACACTTTGCATGCATTTCTGATGAGGAAAAAAGGCTCTGGACAGCATCTGGACATGGAACAGTTAAAAACTGTTTCTAAGCGCAAACGCTTATAACGCGGTTAACTGCGTTTACAAACGCTTACACATGTTTACAAGCGTTTGGCATTTGAAACACCGGTAAAATCTACTCCTGATCGCAAGTTTGGTGCGTTCAAAAAAAACGACTGTAAACTCAACTGCCTGTAAACGGCTGTAAACGACGATGCATACATGGACACATAGGAAAACAATAGGGAGAGTTCAGGGGCTGCTGAAAAAAAAGCAAAAAAGCTCCTGAATGTCAGTCGGTAAAATCTACTCCTGAACGCAAGTTTGGTGCGTTCAAAAAAATGCCTGTAAACTCAACTGCCTGTAAACAACTGTAAACGACATAGTGTACATGTGCTGAAAAAAAAAAAAAAAGCTCCTGAACGTCAGTTTAGCAGCTGCAGTGTACATGAGCCCTAAGTGTGTTAGGCTGCATTGGCCGCCCATTCATAGGCTGCCTTAATGCAACGGCGTTAACCTGCAACATTACACATGCATTAGCGCCAGGGGCGGACTGACCATTTGGAAACTCGGGCACTGCCCGAGGGCCCGGGGTCAGTAGGGGCCCCATGAGATGCCCCTGGTACCTTTTTCATATGCTTTTTTGAGTTTGGGCAAGGACACAGGGGCCCCATGATTCCCTATTGCCCAGGGGCCCCATGAGTTGACACTGATAGAAGTCACAAGACTGCTCTAACTGCTGATGAGAAAAGTTATTTGCAGTTTATATTTACTAAAATTATTGCATTTCTGTGTTCAGAATAGCCATTACATGTGAGAGACCAGATATAGTGAATGCAGGGTCCTGAGAGACCAGATATCATGAATGCAGGGTCTGGAGAGACCAGATATAGTGAATGCGGGGTCCTGGGAGACCAGATATAGTGACTGCAGGGTCCGGGGAGACCAGATATAGTGAATGCAGGGTCCAAGGGAGACCGGATATAGTGACTGCAGGGTCCGGGAGACCAGATATATGCAGGGTCTGTAGAGACCAGATATAGTGAATGCAGGGTCCGGGGAGACCAGATATAGTGAATGCAGGGTCCGGGGAGACCGGATATAGTGAATGCAGGGTCCTGGGAGACCAGATATAGTGAATGCAGGGTCTGGAGAGACCAGATATAGTGAATTCAGGGTCCTGGGAGTCTGGATATAGTGAATGCAGGGTCCTGGGAGACCGGATATAGTGAATGCAGGGTCTGGGGAGACCAGATATAGTGAATGCAGGGTCTGGGGAGACCAGATATAGTGAATGCAGGGTTCTGGAAGACCGGATATAGTGAATGCAGGGTCCAGGGAGACCAGATATAGTGAATGGAGGGTCCTGGGAGACCGGGTGAATGCAGGGTCCGGGGAGACCAGATATAGTGAATGCAGGGTACGGGGAGACTGGATATAGTGAATGCAGGGTCCGGGGAGACCAGATATAGTGAATGCAGATTCCGGAGATACCGGATATAATGAATGCAGGTGCTGGGAGACCAGATATTGTGAATGCAGGGTCCGGGGAGACCAGATATAGTGAATGCAGGGTCCTGGGAGACCAGATATAGTAAATGCAGGGTCCGGAGAGACCTGATATAGTGAATGCAGGGTCTGGGGAGACCGGATATCGTGAATGCAGGGTCCGGGGAGACCAGATATAGTGAATGCAGGGTCCGGGGAGAGCGGATATAGTGAATGCAAGGTCCGGGGAGACAAGATATAGTGAATGCAGGGTCCGGGGAGAAGCGGATATAATGAATGCAGGGTTTCGGGGAGAGTGGATATAGTGAATGCAGGGTCCGGGGAGACCGGATATAGTGAATGCAGGGTCCGGGGAGAGTGGATATAGTGAATGCAGGGTCCGGGGAGACCAGATATAGTGAATGCAGGGTCCGGGGAGAGTGGATATAGTGAATGCAGGGTCCGGGGAGACCGGATATAGTGAATGCAGGGTCCAAGGAGACCAGATATAGTGAATGCAGGGTCTGGGGAAGAGACCAGATATAGTGAATGCAGGGTCCGGGGAGAGCGGATATAGTGAATGCAGGGTCCGGGGAGAGCGGATATAGTGAATGCAGGGTCCGGGGAGACCTGATATAGTGAATGCAGGGTCTGGGGAGACCGGATATACGTGAATGCAGGGTCCGGGGAGACCAGATATAGTGAATGCAAGGTCCGGGGAGACAAGATATAGTGAATGCAGGGTCCGGGGAGAGCGGATATAATGAAATGCAGGGTTCGGGGAGAGTGATATAGTGAATGCAGGGTCCGGGAGACCAGATATAGTGAATGCAGGGTCCGGGAGAGTGGATATAGTGAATGCAGGGTCCGGGGGAGACCAGATATAGTGAATGCAGGGTCCGGGAGAGTGGATATAGTGAATGCAGGGTCCGGGGAGACCGGATATAGTGAATGCAGGGTCCAAGGAGACCAGATATAGTGAATGCAGGGTCTGGGGAGACCAGATATAGTGAATGCAGGGTCCGGGGAGAGCGGATATAGTGAATGCAGGGTCCGGGGAGAGCGGATATAGTGAATGCAGGGTCCGGGAAGACCGGATATAGTGGATGCAGGGTCCCAAGGAGACCAGATATAGTGAATGCAGGGTCTGGGAGACCGGATATAGTGAATCAGGGTCTGGGGAGACCAGATATAGTGAATGCAGGTCCGGGGAGACCAGATATAGTGAATACAGGGTTGGGGAGACCAGATATAGTGAATGCAGTGTTCTGGGGAGGACCAGATATAGTGAATGCAGGGTCCGGGGAGACCAGATATAGTGAATGCAGGGTCCAAGGAGACCAGATATAGTGAATGCAGGTCTGGGAGACCATCGGATTGCATAGTGAATTGCAGGGTTGGGGAGACCGGATATAGTGAATGCAGGGTCCGGGGAGACCGATATAGTGAATGCAACCAATATAGTGAAATGCAGGGTCCCGGAGAAAAAGGACCGGATATAGTGCTGCAGGGTCCGGGGAGACCGGACTAGTGAATGCAGGGTCCTGGGGAGACCAGATATAGTGAATGCAGGGTCCGGGGAGACCAGATATAGTGTGCTCCGGAGAGACCAGATATATGTGAATGCAGGGTCCTGGGTTTAGTAACACTTTAATAAGGATGTAAGCTTGGGACTGAACTGCCCAATAATTCCTCTCTTGACTGCAAATTATATTTAATGTGATCATATACACGACTGAACGCAAAAGTGTTGCATCACATCTAATATATTCTGCGCAGTGCACTGCCGTTTGACGGACAGCAATGCAGAACACTGCTTAGCACTTCTGCTGAGATCGCATCAATGTGTCTTCCAGCTGCCGTGTGTAAATATGACGCATTTTTAATTGTGATGTAATCACGTTTTCAGCTCATGACCCCTCCCACCAATCACTTCCCACTACCCACAATTCATGTATTGGAAATCCCAGGTTTCATGTAAGGTCCCAGCCCAAGTGCGGTGATATGCAGTAAAAATGCGTCTTTTCACACTAAAATGCTAAATAACGCCTAAACCCACATGTGTTACCAGGCGGAGAATGTGCAGTGCTGGTGTAGACTCAGTGCAGGGATTGGCATTTCCCCTTCACTCTGGTCCCTTCTCTGCGGCGCGCTGACCCAAATACTGCAACAGCCGCCATTGATTTCCATTTCCCCCTGAGGGTGGAGCACCCCTCCCCCGCCCCACACCCTGAATGTCCGCAGTCTGGGGACAGTTCAGGATCAGACCTATTATATTGTCACAATGGGGAGTGCAGGGTTTCTTGTAATAATTTTGACAATAAACTGTGAAATCCATCACCATTTTTAAAATTTTTTTTTATTGAAATTTGTATCAATTTCCTGTGCATAGATTTGTGATTTTGTCCATCCAGTCTTGAGATTTATACAGCCCTGGACGGCCAGCCTGGCGACCTGACTTTGCTGTAGATAGGTGGCACAGCCTGGTCGTCTCCCCCTCCCCTAGGGAGGCACATCCAGGTCAACTCCCCCTCCCCCTCAGCCTGTTACTGGACAATGAAGAAGCAGAAGAATAGTGATGTCATACCTGTGACATCACTGGGACATACTGTGCTCTCTACTGCTGTCAGAAAGCTGCATGACAGCTCATGTGCACTACAGCACATTTGATTGGATTCTAGCTTGTCACCTTCCCATTTTATTGGCTCCTACCAGGGGCGGACTGACAACTCATGGGGCCCCTGGGCAATAGGGGATCATGGGGCCCCTGTGACCTTGCCCAAACTCAAAAAAGCCTATGAAAAAGGTACCAGGGGCATCTCATGGGGCCCCCTACTGACCCCGGGCCCTCGGGCAGTGCCTGAGTTTCCAAATGGTCAGTCCGCCCCTGCTCCTAGCACACCTCCTCCCCAGCTGATTGACTCCTAGCACGCCTCACCCCATCTGATTGGCTCCTAGCACACCTCCTCCCCCAGTTGATTGACTCCTAGTACGCCCCATACCACCCCATCTGATTGGCTCCTAGCACACCTCCTCCCCAGCTGATTGACTCCTAGCACACCCCACCCCATCTGACAGCTAATATGCACTACAGCACATTTGATTGGATTCTAGCTCATCTCCTCCTGATTGGATTGGCTCCTAGCACACCTCCTCCCCAGCTGATTGACTCCTAGCACGCCTCACCCCATCTGATTGGCTCCTAGCACACCTCCTCCCCAGCTGATTGACTCCTAGCACGCCTCACCCAATCTGATTGGCTCCTAGCACACCTCCTCCTCAGCTGATTGACTCCTAGCACGCCTCACCCCATCTGATTGGCTCCTAGCACGCCTCACCCCATCTGATTGGCTCCTAGCACACCTCCTCCCCAGCTGATTGACTCCTAGCACGCCTCACCCAATCTGATTGGCTCCTAGCACACCTCCTCCTGAGCTGATTGACTCCTAGCACGCCTCACCCCATCTGATTGGCTCCTAGCACACCTCCTCTCCAGCTGATTGACTCCTAGCACGCCCCACCCCATCTGATTGGCTCCTAGCACTCTTCCTCCCCGTCTGATTGGCTCTTTGCTCACCCCTACTCCTTCTAATCAGAGTGCTGCTATATAAGGGATAGCAAGAGGCTGGCACCAGGAGGGTAAATTAGTTCCAGATAGAAATACATGGAGGCCCCTTGTATTTCTCTACCCCATTGCTGTGTGCTATTAACATTCGTTTTGTCAAGGAGGGTTGTTCATTTTTAATGGATTACCAACATGCTACAATTTATATAAAATATTTCAAATATTTAATTTAAAAATTAAAAATAACATACCTCCACCATTTCTGTACCACCACACACACCAGAGTGGTCATGGACAACCATCACAGTGGGGTGTTGGGGTGCCGCAGCACATGAACTGCACTACGCGTTATATATCACATGGTACAAGCAAGGGCGGACTGCCAACTCATTGGGCCCCCGGGCAAAAGGGGATCATGGGGCCCCTGTGTCCTTGCCCAAATTCAAAAAAGCCTATGAAAAAGGTACCAGGGGCATCTCATGGGGCCCCCTACTGACCCGGGCCCTCTGGCAGTGCCGGAGTTTCCAAATGGTCAGTCCGCCCCTGGGTACAAGGCACTGCCGTCATAGGTCCGCCCATTTCCAATGTGTGGACAGGAGAACTTTGGGGTTCATTTTCCTGTCTTGTTTTTTGCCTGTCACGGCACAGCTATTGATGGGATCTGATTCTCTGTATATTTGTCTTCTGAAGGCCATTAACATGATGGATCGTTTATCAGTTCACTTTGTAGTCGTCTTCCCCTTGGCATGTCTGTATTAACATGAAGATTTATGGGTGGAGCTGTCACGCGGCCCATTTATAGTGATGTAAAGAGGGCCAGGGTCGGGAGTACGGCTAATACTGTATAATGGCGCTCAGCTGTGTGCATAAATCACCCACAACCGCTGATTTAATCAGAAAATATTTATCACCCCCCCACCCATACATACGCATCATCTGTGATCATATACAGAGAATATAATGAGGGCGCTGGACATAAATCTGACAATTCCACCACACATGGGAGGTGGGTGAAGCTGCATGGGATCAAGTCACGGGGGGAAGTCATGGAATCCTGTTTGAAGCTGAGCCCTGCCATGGGGGACATTTATGGGGAGCTGAGCCCTGCCATGGGGAACGTTTATGGGGAGCTGAGCCCTGCCATGAGGGACGTTTATGGGGAGCTGAGCCCTGCCATGGGGGACGTTTATGGGGAGCTGAGCCCTGCCATGGGGGACGTTTATGGGGAGCTGTGCCCTGCCATGGGGGACGTTTATGGGGAGCTGAGCACTGCCATGGGGGACGTTTATGGGGAGCTGAGCCCTGCCATGGGGGACGTTTATGGGGAGCTGAGCCCTGCCATGGGGGACATTTATGGGGAGCTGTGCCCTGCCATGGGGGACGTTTATGGGGAGCTGAGCCCTGCCATGGGGGACGTTTATGGGGAGCTGAGCCCTGCCATGGGGGACGTTTATGGGGAGCTGAGCCCTGCCATGGGGGACGTTTATGGGGAGCTGAGCACTGCCATGGGGGACGTTTATGGGGAGCTGAGCTCTGCCATGGGGGACGTTTATGGGGAGCTGAGCCCTGCCATGGGGGACGTTTATGGGGAGCTGAGCACTGCCATGGGGACATTTATGGGGAGCTGAGCCCTGCCATGGGGGACATTTATGGGGAGCTGAGCACTGCCATGGGGACATTTATGGGGAGCCGAGACCTGCCATGGGGGACATTCATGAGTAGCTGAGCACTGCCATGGGGACATTTATGGGGAGCTGAGACCTGCCATGGGGGACATTCATGAGTAGCTGAGCACTGCCATGGGGACATTTATGGGGAGCTGAGCCCTGCCATGGGGGACATTCATGAGTAGCTGAACACTGCCATGGGGACATTTATGGGGAGCTGAGCCCTGCCATGGGGGACATTCATGAGTAGCTGAACACTGCCATGGGGACATTTATGGGGAGCTGAGCCCTGCCATGGGGGACATTTATGGGGAGCTGAGCCCTGCCATGGGGACATTTATGGGGAGCTGAGACCTGCCATGGGGGACATTCATGAGTAGCTGAGCACTGCCATGGGGACATTTATGGGGAGCTGAGCCCTGCCATGGGGGACATTCATGAGTAGCTGAACACTGCCATGGGGACATTTATGGGGAGCTGAGCCCTGCCATGGGGGACATTCATGAGTAGCTGAACACTGGCATGGGGACATTTATGGGGAGCTGAGCCCTGCCATGGGGGACATTTATGGGGAGCTGAGCCCTGCCATGGGGGATATTTATGGGGAGCTGAGCCCTGCCATGGGGGACATTTATGGGGAGCTGAGCCCTGCCATGGGGGACATTAATGGGGAGCTGAGCCCTGCCATGGGAGACATTTATGGGGAGCTGAGCCCTGCCATGGGAGACATTAATGGGGAGCTGAACACTGCCATGGGGACATTTATGGGGAGCTGAGCCCTGCCATGGGGGACATTTATGGGGAGCTGAGCACTGCCATGGGGACATTTATGGGGAGCTGAGACCTGCCATGGGGGACATTCATGAGTAGCTGAGCACTGCCATGGGGGACATTCATGAGTAGCTGAACACTGCCATGGGGACATTTATGGGGAGCTGAGCCCTGCCATGGGGGACATTCATGAGTAGCTGAACACTGCCATGGGGACATTTATGGGGAGCTGAGCCCTGCCATGGGGGACATTTATGGGGAGCTGAGCCCTGCCATGGGGGACATTTATGGGGAGCTGAACACTGCCATGGGGACATTCATTGGGAGCTGAGCCCTGCCATGGGGGACATTTATGGGTAGCTGAGCCCTGCCATGGGGGACATTTATGGGGAGCTGAGCCCTGCCATGGGGGACATTTATGGGGAGCTGAACACTGCCATGGGGACATTTATGGGGAGCTGAGCCCAGACATGGGGGACATTTATGGGGAGCTGAGCCCAGACATGGGGACATTTATGGGGAGCTGAGCCCAGACATGGGGAACATTTATAGATAGCTAAGCCATGCCATGGGGGACATTTATGGGGAACTGAGCCCTACCATAACATTTATGTTTGTTGTTTATATTGGAAAAA